GGAATAATTTATCTCTAGTAGTACAACTTGAACAATTATTCATGAAATACCTTGGCAAAGACTTGGTGCAAATGTCATCTTTTTGTTATTTGGAATATATGTAAAGAATTAATCACTTATACATTATCGGTGTAAAGTTTTTTATATTGATAATTAATCAAATCTATTAATAGTGCCTTTTTTAAATCTGATTGGTTATTAATGTAAAAATTTTTTACACTGACAATGTATAGGTAATTAACTCGTATGTAAATAGTGACTATTGTTGTTATTGCTTTTTTCGTTTTCCAATAACTTCATCAAATATCCTGACATTGATTTTTGGGTTATAGGTACACGATGTCCGATTTGAATCACATATTTTAATAATATTTAATTAAATTAGTTTTTTATGATAAAGTATTTATTGTATAATGCTCCTTTAATCATTTTGTGTATTGTGGTAAAAATCTTGAGTAGGTTTCTCAAGTGGTAAGGAATTCTTGTAGTGCGTTTCGAGAAGAAGTGCTTTCTTGGGTGCAAGAAAGGGTCTATCTTGTATATGGAAGTGTGTGCATGTGTGGTATGCTTGTAAAACTTCTTCATTGAGATAGTGGAACAAATCTTGATCAGGTTATGATTGAGGATTGGATGTAGGTCACATGTGGAGTGGTTGAACTAGGATAAAACACTTTTCACTCTTCTCTTATCCTTATCATTTACATTGAACAATCTTTAATTGAATGTTAAAATGGATGGTGTTGATTAATATGTTTGTATGACTAAATGGTTTAAAATGGAACACAAGCACTGCATATAAATTGTTGTTTAAGCTGATTCAATAAATATTAACCAAGAAATCATATAGGAGTCATTTCAATATACTAAGAGGTTCAATATACTTCATTGGAAATTGGTTTTAGAAAAGTTCAAAGAAATTAAGATCCTTAAACTCTGATAAATTTTTTAATTGTCATTAAATTCAATTCAACCCCTCTTGGACTAAGCCATTCTTTTCTATTGAGTAATGGCTCTATAATCTGTGCACATCCTTTATTTTCCATCCTTCTTAGACACCAAAAGAACGGGAACCGCACAAGAGCTAAGACTCTTTTGAACCTAACCCTTCTTCAATAAGTCCTCAATTTGAGTTTCTATCTCTTAGGTTTCTTGGGGATTAATGTGACACCTTATACCCCACATACATAATTATACAATAAATAGAGATAAATAAAATTCTTCATAAATAAAATCCAAGTATCTAACCACATAAGGGTAAAGAGTTCACATTCATAAATCATAAGTCATAGTTTAATGCGAAAATTACAAAAGAATAAAATCAAGGTCTTCTAAGAAATTTAACAAGGGTAACATTTTAAATCAATCCTAACTAAACCCGATGTCACATGTCTTATCAGAGCACACCCCACAATGAGAATTAAACCTCATCACCAACATCCACATGTTGATGATCACCTGCAACACCATAAAAATACACATAGAGCAACAAGGGAGTGAGAAACATTTCACTCTGGTTCAGATGTAGAAATAAATGTTAGGCAACATACACACAATCATAAAAAATATCACACAAGTTACACATAACCAAGCACAACTCTCAAGTTATAGATGCATTAGAATACATACACATTAACTTATCATGCAACAATGTCATGGACTCGACTCATAAATGCATGCATATGGTGCCATATGGAAGTTGCACATTTCTCATCACTGGTATGTTGTTGTAGCAACATACATGGGGCATGTTCATTCATAAATACATCACTGGTGACCCAACGTACACCTAGAATAGTTTAATACATCTATAGCATGAAGCCTAAGTGACACACATAGAATAACTCATTTCATAACTGGTGACCCAAGGTACACCTGGAATAGCTCAATACATCACTGGCATGCGACCTAAGTGGCACACCTGGAATAGATCATTTCATCATTGGTGATCGAAGGTACCCCTAGAATAGCTCAATACATCACTGGCATGCGACCTAAGTGGCACACCTAGAGTCATATATGCACATGATGCATGTCACACATTCACTATTTCATTGACTCAACATTTCACTTATCACGTTTCATCATATCTCATGTCACATTATCTCATAATATCATATCACAAATCATATGTTCACTTTTCACATTTTCACGTCATATTCACATAGTCTCATACAATGAACTTCTCATAGTCATATACAAAATAGCACATACCCATACCCAGAAATTATCCAAAACATGAATCCATCATCAATTTTGAAGTTACCGAAAAAACACATAGAAGGGGGGTTGAATATGTGTGTGTAAGTGAACAAAGGAGTTTTTAAAACATTTCACAATAAAGCTCTCTTTCGTCCAGTAAAGATATCATTAGTGAATGCTTGAACAGAAATAACCCAAGATTGGTTTACCAAAATCATTTTTCTTCTGGAGGTTTCATCATTTGCTAAGAGAAAAATACTTCATAAACAAAAGTTGTTCTTTTAGAATAATCAATTGAGCAATTATAGTTTTCGTCCAAAGATAACTTTGATAGACGATAATTATTAGACGAAGTTTTCAGTGAATTAGATTAATCAAATAAATTGCGTTTGAAACATTAAGACGTAGAACAAGTATTTTTATACTGGTTCACTCAAATTGAGCTATGTCCAGTCTCCATAAACTGAAGGGTTCCACTATATATGAAGTTTAAGAACATTTGAGTATTGTCGTCCACTCCTGGACCTAAGTATTCTTCACCACTCCTAACCCGTCGGCTTCACTCACCAACGCTAGTATTCTTAAACCTCCTCTAGTTCTCCAAGTATTCTCGACCACTCATGGGCCGCCAGCTTCACTCACCAGCACTAGTATTCTTAAACCACTTCTGGTTCTCCAAGTATTCTCGACCACTCCTGGCCCGCCAGCTTCACTCACCAGCGCTAGTATTCTTAAACCACTTCTAGTTCTCCAAGTATTCTGATGGAATCACACTAAGGCCAAAAAGACCAAGAGGTGTTATTTTGAAAGAGGAAAGAGGAATAGGTTAATTTGGAAAACCCTAAGAGGAGTGGGCCTACTTTTGGGCCTTAGCTCCTACGTTTTTATTAGCGTAAAATTTATTCCTATTTTGCCCTTATCTTTAAATTTCCCATTTTCACCCTTGTATTTTGGGTATCTTAGACATCGGATTTATTTTCTTTTGTACCCAAGCCAAACTGGTTTAATCCAGACACACCCTTTTTAAACATCTTTGGCATTTTACTGGGGAAAACATTTCTTGAAGATGATATGTGGTATTTATGGAGTGTCTCAGATCGTAATATAATTTTTTAAATCAAGTGAATCAATGACAGTGAATTAAAAATATTTTAATTAAAAATATATTTTTTGATGAATAATTAAATTTAAATTATATTTTGTATTAATAATTAAACTAAAGTATGATATTAAGTTAAATACTCTAATTTAATATAATAGAAGAGTGATAATATATTATTTATGTTTTTAAGTGATAAAAATATTTTATTTGATATTTTAACATATGAGTGGATAGTATAATATATATACACCTTTCAGGGGAGGAGAGTGTTATTTACATGAATAACATTAAGATAAATGAATTAAATTATATATTTTAACATATAAAAGAAAAGTACATTTTATTTTTCAAGAAAAGATAATATAATTTAATCACTCTAATTTATTTAAATGCTTGGATACTTCACTAATACATATTACGAATAAGTATGAGTGAAGTATCCAGGAGTATCAAGATTAGGGATGGTAAAATTACCCTCACCCGCGGGTATCTGCGGGTAAAATCCGCTACGGATAATAAATGGATAGGCTAATTGGGTACCCACGGATAATGGAGATGGATAATTTTTTACCCGTTTATAAATGGGGCAGGGGCGGGTATGATGATATCCATACCC